TGTCCCCTCGCAGCCCGGAGAGGCAGGCGCTGCTAGTGTCAGTGAGGAGGGAGGACACCCGCAGCCTGGCCCTGAGTCCCTGCTCGAAGTCACAGATGGGGGACCCGCAACGCCCAGGTGGTTGGCTGGAGACGGGGAGCAGAGATGGCTGTGGGAGCCCTGGTGCCCCCACCTGACTCTAGGATCTGGGACGGGGACGCTAGAGCCGAGCTCTTTAGGATGCAAAGCTCACCCCTGTACCGAGTTCGAAAGCTGAGTGAGGAGAGGAGTGAGCCAAGAGAGGAGACAGGATGGTGGCCAGCGGGCACGGCCCATGACACATCGGGCACAGTTATAGCCGTCTGTAGTGTGGCAGGGAAGGGTCCAAGATTAGGGGGGCAGGCTGAGCTGGCCAGGCGGCCTTGGTGAGGAGAGCGCCCTGGTAGCGGGTGGCCTGGCTCCTGTGGGGACTAGGAGCCGAGTGGACCCGTGACAGGGGCAGATCGCAGACTGCCGTCTAGGAACCAGGTCAGAGACAAGCAAGGCTGGGCAGCGGGGCCAGGCGGAGGTGCCCAGACCGCACGGGCCTGGGCCAGGGGCTGTGACGGGGTGGGGGGGTAGGGCTGGAGGCTGCTGCAGGGACCCTGCCCCAGTTCCCAGCTACACTCTGTTCTGCCCAGATCCAGAGCCCAAGGCCAGCCCGGCATGGCTGGGGAGCACGTAAGGGGCCCATACCCAGGGCTGAGGTCAGGCCTGGACAGGGGTAGGGGCTCGGACACCTGCCAGGATTATAACGGCGCCGCTGGCTCTTGCCTGGAAAAGGAGCCTGGTTTGGGGGACCATTTTCCCTATTTTACAGATAAGGGCACGGTACCTCCACCAGGCTCACACCGCAAGGGACCCAAGTGACCGGTGGGTGAGGATGTTAACCAGGAACCTGCCCTCCGCAGTGTCCTCAGTGGGACTCAGCCAGGGGGAAGGCTGAGACTCAGGTGTAGACGCAGGCCCTGCCCCGAAACAGTTCAGTCCATGGTGGGAGGCCCCACCCCACTGCTCACCCACCCTGGCACTGCTCAGGCCTCAGACCCAGCCTGGCCAAGCTGCCCGGGGTCACTGTCCCTGGCCAGGCACCTGCCCTGTAGGACTGGTGGGGCGGTGCGCTCCATTTGTTGCCAAAGGTTTCCGGGATTGTCTGTGGGGTGGGGGTGGGGGAGGGATGTGGGGACAGTGGGTCAAGGTGAGGGACCGAGACCCCAGGCCCAGTGAGGTCCCCTCGAGGCCCCAGCAGGGAGGGGTTTCCAGGGGAGCACCCAGCAGCCTCAGCCTGGGTAGGGGGGTGCGGTGGAGGGGGGGGACCCAGAGGCGGATGCAAATGAGGGCTGGGGCTGCTTTCCCAGGGAAATGGTCATTTTCATAGACACCCGCCCCCTGGGGCTTGGGCGCAGGCAGCGCTCCTGTCACAATTCCTCAGCAATCGCCTAACGCCAGCTCAAGTGCGTGTGCGCACACTGCCTGCAGCCTGTGCCCGCTCCCTCACCCAGGAGAGCTGTCTCCATGCATCTGGGTCTCTTCTGTCTTAATGGAGTGTTACGTTTTCTTTCTTTTTCAAATAGGTTTTTTGATTTCAGATTTTTTTAAGAGAGAGGGGAAGGGAGATAGAGAGATAGAAATATCAATGAGAGCTGGAGAGGGAATCCTCCTGCACGCCCCGCACTGGGGATCGAACCGTGACCTCTTGGTCATAGGTCGACACTCAGCGCTCAACCCCTGAGCCACCTGGCTGGGCTGGAGTGTTCCATCTTCTCCAGAGAGTTTAAGCGTGTTGTATGAGCTTCGTGCCTGATCAAAGCCCGTGAACATGTGTTTCTTTTCTCCTGATACTTCTTGGTTGCCGTTAGGGATGCCGTGGGTTTTTGAATGTTGGTCTTGGATCTGGAACCTTATAATTCAGTGGTTCTCAACCTTCCTCACGTTGTGGTGACCCCCAATTTTATTGTGACAAATTGAACATAAAGCATAGTGATGAATCACAAAAACAATATGTAAATTATAGATGTGTTTTCTGATGGTCTGAGGCGACCCCTGTGAAAGGGTCGTTTGACCCCCAAAGGGGTTGAGAACCGCTGTTGTAACTCCTGGCACTTCCAAGAGCTGCTTCTCTTGGTGAACGTTCATATCTGCCCAGAGCTTCCTTCCCGGCCTTTTACGAAAAGGACCCCCTCTCCTCCTGCCGGATTGGATGGCGCACCCTCGATCCTCTCCGCGGCTCCTCTCACTCAGTCCCGATGGTCTCTGTTGAAGTCTCGCTCGATCCTCTTTCCTTTGGTACCAGTGCCCCTCCCCCCGAGTTCTCCTCTCTCTTTTCAGACGGGCAAAGTTGCTGGAAAGTGGTGAAATGAGTGTCAGAGCTGGCGGCCAGCGCCCCTGGCTGCCTGGGGTCAGGGCTGGTCACATTCAGCAGCCAACGCCCCCCCACCCTGCCCCCCAATAATAAGGCTAAGAAGTCAGCTCTGGCCACAGCAGTGGCTTCAGACCATACTGGTGACCGTGTCATGAACAACTGCAGGGGGCCACCTTCACTGCCCTCAGCACCCCCTGGCGCTGATGGGGATCTACACACCCAGCGCTGGGTGTTGAAATTGCTGACAGCATTTAGGCCCTTAGCACTGTCCCGTGCACTTCCCTGTACAGCTGTGCGGGCCGATGGTTTGGGGGCGTCCCTGCGTCTTGACCCTACAGGCTTTTAACACTTGGCCTGCAGGTCCCTCCGCCGG